GTCCCAGCCGAGCACCTTCTCTTCATGATACTGACGCGCAGGTCGTCCTCCCGCTTCATGCCGGGCCGCCGCCTGCAGGCCGGGCTGCTCCCATCGCTGGAGCCATCACTGGTCAGGAAGGCGGGAGCTGGTTCCTGCTTCAGGACGCGTGCAGGGGGCAGGGCGATGGTCCTCTTGTCTGCCAGCCGCCCTCGGTTCTAGGAAGGTAGAAGAGGAGGATCAGGCAGACCCCTCAGGCCCGTGGTCACAAAAGGCCTTGGGGACCACCACTGAAGACAAACAAGGGCTGACAGGGGACCTCCAACCCCTCTGCAATGGAGGGAACCCCGGCATCATTCAGAACAGACCAGAGAGGGCTCAAGCCAGAGCCTGGGGGCAGCTGACTCATCCAGACTCTAGACACTGCCCCAGGTCCCCCAAAATAGATGACCTGTAATGACTGAAGGGCTGAGCAATGTGTCCTTTACCCTGCCCCTCCCTTGAGTTTCCCAGTGTCCCTTGCTGTGTGGTGAAGCCCAAACTAATGACAGCATCAACAATGCAGAGTGAACCCTGGCTGGTGCCTGTCAACAAGCACAGTCCAGTGTGAAAACCCAAACCAATGCCAACATCAACAAGCACAGAGCCACCTGAACTCCAAGCCTACGCCAATGTCTACAGGAACCCCCAAACCGAAGCTGGTTTTGACAAGCATAACTCTGCATGAACCTGGAACCACTACCAACAAGGAGAAAGCACAGTCCTTTTGCACCTCGCTGTGGCCGTGTGCAGGGGGCAGCTCACGGAGATTTGCAGCAAGGCCTGGGCCTGGGCCTGGCGGAAGTGCAACAGTGCAATGCCGTGAGCCACAACTGCACAGGGCAGGAATTCTCTTTCCCTGAGGGGCCTTGAGATCCCAGGAGTCCCCAATGCCCTCCCACAAGCCCCTAACTTCATCCTTACCTCACCCCAAGGACCCAGAATTACGTTCAGGTTTCCCTACAAGGCAAGTCCCATGGAACGCTGTGCACGACAATGTATGTGTGACATTTGAAGACGTGGCTGGAGGAACATCCCACAGGTACAGCCATGTGTACATATGAGATCCTGCACAGAGTGTGGGAGTGCACAGAGGCTGTGTGTGTCAAGAACATGTATGTGCCCAGAACATTGAGGGTACAGAGAAAGTGTGTGAGAGATGACTGTATGCAGAGAGGGACAGTTCTGCAGGTGTCTGCAGGCTCCGCTTCAGAGAGCAAAGAAGGAATGTTATTGATCTTTCTCCAGGGAGTGGCAGGGCCTTGGAATTCTCTGATCCCAGCTCATGCCTGCAGACACCTGGGTCATTCCCAGAGTTCCCCTCCCCTCCGGCTGCTAGGATGACATGTCCCATCACATATGTGAGCTGGAGGAGGGCTTGCAGGGAAGTCCCACTTCTCCTGCAACCGCCCCTCAAGGCCTCCACCAAGCCCCAGGGTAAAAGGTCATCTACATACAGAGTCATTGTCCCCTCCAGTGACACAGCCAGCTTGTGTCCAGCAGGAACTTGCAGCCCAGACACAGGTTCATTTCAGCAGGACCCCTAGGCTCTGTCTCCTCCACAGGACCCCTGGGGGCTGCAGACTCTCCCCGGCATGGATCTAGCTGGGGGGGCTACAAGTACCCCTACTCCACATAGGATCCAAGACTACGGCCTGTCCTCTCTACAGGACCTGGGGGTGGGTGGGTTATTTGTCCCCTCAAGGATCTGGGGGCTAGAATCTGAGTTCCCAACAAGATGCAAGGGCCTCCTACCACCCCATACAGCATCCAGGGGTTATGGTCTGCTGCTCACAAGATCAGGAGCTATCGTCTGACTTCTGGTTCTTATGCACCATTCTTTCAGAACCTACTCATAGCTGACCCTCCGGTGGGTTTTCAGAGGCAATGGGTGGGGAGAAGATTGCCCACCCTTCTCCCTTGGGTTGTTGCTGTTGATATATGTCGTTGAGTTGCCTGCGACTCATAGCGACCCTAGGTCATTGTCCAGCTCTCTGATGCACAGCTAGTAATTGAGACCACGTCCTGGATCAGGCGCACCTGTCTCTAGATTGATGTCCCTTTGGGAGTGCATTGCCGTTTCTTACCAGCAGGCCACCGGAACTCCCTGTAGTCTCAGTACTCTCATAGTATTTGGGGGTGGTGCCGCCTCAAGATGCTCTTGTTAGTCTCTCTGCAATGCATGCTCTTAAAACTGTGCAGAGTGGGGACAAGGAGGGGTGAGGCAGTGAGATCTGAGGGTAAGCCTGGCCAACAGGGCAAGGTGTGAGCTGAGGAGCCTGACAGCTGTCTGGTAGGTGAACGGGGTAAGTCCCGGCTTGACTCTGTCCCTTTCCAGCCTGCTGCAGCCCAGGTAGCAAAAACTGGCCTCAGGAAGACATCAGGATCACCCTTGGGAAGGACCTCAAGAGGCCCTCAAGAAGGAGTCATCCAACCCTCACCACCACCCTCTCCTCTCTCTTTTCTGCTTCATGTCCCCATACCCTCACCCCCATGTCCTCATTTGTGAGACAGAAGAGAGACTGCCCTCAGGAGAGCAGGATGTGGCACCCTGAGGCCGCATGCCATTGTGCTTTGCTGGGTGCGTCATGCATGGGAAGACTGGGTCCCCTGAGGGCAGCCTGGGGGTGGGAGCTGAGGGAAAAACTAGCTACTTCAAGGGTATCCTGAGGCTAAAGTGCCAGTCAATCCCTGTCCATCCTACAACACATAGGCATGAGAACTTGGTGCCAGGGCCTCTGCCCCAGCCAAGCTCAGTCGGCTGGGGAGGGGCCGGCTGGAGAGGGGGCTGGACAAGACAGTGGAGAGGGCATGACCTCACCCTGTTTCCTGGGGTACCCATGACGTGTGCAGTATGTGTGGGCCTGGTGGTATGTAACTGGGGGAGGGGGTCCTGAATAACAAAGGTGGGACTGGGAAGAGAAGGAGGCATACAAGGCTTTTCCCCAAAGGAAGGGTGCGTACTAGGCCTGGAAAGGTCTAGGCTTAGGAGGGGTTGCCCTCAGGACAAGTAGCCCCAGGTGGTAGACCACTCCTTTTCTGAATCTTAGGGTCTCCTCTGAAGATGGAGCTGAAAACTGCCCCACATCAGTGCCTTGGCAGGGGGCGATAAACTAAAGATAGACTCAGGGAGCCCATGAGAGGCCTCAGGCTTTTCCCTAATTCCCTGAAGTTCCCCAAGGACCCTACTTCAGCACTGGAGAGAGCAGAAGAGCTCTGGGGGCAAGTGGAGCCCTCCGTCTCATCTCTAGTCTCCAGGGGTGGGGCAGGGCCAGTGGGGTGGGGTGGTGGCTCACCTGTGGCACAGACCAGTCTCCATCTACTGACCAGTAAGGACCCCCAAAGGTGGGCACAGGGTGAACCAGGGTGTCCTCCCTCTCTGACAATACTGTGAAGTATTTTGTCTTGTTCCCACCCCTTCCTGGAGAGGGAGCTTCTGAAAAGAGCCAGGAACAGCCAGCCTTTCCCTCACGACCCCAGTCGCTTTTCTCTGGGGCTCAAATTCAGATTGTACCTTCCTGCAGGGATGGGGGACAGTACTCCTGGGGACATTTTCTCCCATTCTCCCAGGAAGGGTCTAGGGTTTTCAAGCCTAGGTCATGGTAGTACAGGCTGCCAGCCTCCACTCTTGTTCTCTTGCCACTAAAAGTCACACTGTATAGATCAAACGCCAACAAGACTGGATCCCCAGGAAACTGTGGGTATTCAGACCTTACCCCAGTCTCAGACCCCAGCACCACAGACAAGCCTACCACTTGCACCCAAGGTTGAAGTCTCCTCATTTAAGACTGGGCCAAATGACACAGTGGCCACCAGACTGCTGAGGGGAGCAGTGTGCCTGACTCAATCAGGTGACACCATTCCGGGAGAAGACCCCCCCAAACTCTGGACTTCTGGATAAGTAACTCCCATACTCTGAGGAAGACTCCCAGACAGACAGTCCACATCCAAAGTCCCACATCCAAAGTCCCCTCAGCCTCCCCGTTTTCCTCTGAGACACACTCCAGCACACCCTGAGGGTTAAACGTATAACCAATCCTCCCTGTCCTCAAAACGCAGCACAAGCGCACAGAGAGGAAGAGACCCCCGCTGCTCTAAGTACCCTACCTCCCCTCTTACCACTGGGGAGGAAATTCGGCAGCCCGGGCAGTCACAAATCGGAGGGTGCACCTGCAGGATGCCCTTGGACATAAGCGTCTTCAGACTTTTCCCTGTGAGGACAGTCAGGCAGCACCGGTGAGGGACAGGCCGGTGGGTGCAGGAGACGCGTCGCTTCCAGGGGCGCAGCCAGCAGCACGTGCATGAAACACACCATCCTTCTTTCCACCTCCGTCCAACTTCCCCACCTGCCGCCTGGCCCACCCTGGCGGACGCCGCAGCGGGGTTGTGCAGGACTCTAAACCCAACCCTGGGCGCACGCCCTTCGTGTCCGAGGCGCGGGCCCCCTTCCCGCCCCCGCGCCCCTCCCCGAACTCCACCCACTCCAGGCCACCTCCCTCCTCAGGTTGTTGGGGTCCGCACCAAGGAAGGCTGAGTTCAGAAGCAAGAGAACTGCGATTAGGAATCTGGGTCTACGCCCATCCCTGTGGTGGCAAAAGCCGGCCACCGCGGAGCCAGCAAACCTCAAAGTCGAGTGCCACCAGGTCCCTAACTTTCCAACTCCCTCAGTGAGTCTGGCGCTCACTTGGCTCTCCCGAATCCCTCTGCTCAGGCGCTCCCCACGCTGAGCCCCTAGAGCCAGGTTCCCGCCAGCACCTGAAGAGGCTGCTGCTGGCCCCAACACTAGGGCTCTGCGCGCGTCCCTGTTCTGACGCGCGCTCCCGAGCCGCCCCCACCTGATCACACCGCCCCCTCTCCTTCCTTCTCACCCACAAGCGCGCCCCCCCTACAGCACGTGCGCCCTGGAATTGGGGTCCGCGCTCCGGCAGGAGGGAATCCCGCCCGACCCACCTCTTGCCCGCTCCGCTCCCCCGAGTTCCCATCAACTTCCCCAGGGCCTCTTCCCCGGCGCATCAGGGCGTGTGGGGTGGGAGCTATTCGCGGCCCCAGGCCCGCAGCGCCCCCTTGGGGCTGAGTTGGGTCTCCCTGGCTGCAGAGCGAAGGGGTCCCGCCCGTGGGTCCCCCGGGAGTGAGGGGGCATCCGGATCCGGGCCGCAAGTCCCCCACCACGGCCGCACCTTTGTGGCGGATGCTGCGCTTCCAGTCCTTGGCCGTCTCGCGGCCGCTGACGAACTGGAACTCGTTGGGCGTGAGCCACTCGCCGCGGTGGCGGATGGACGGGCCCTTGCTGCCCTGGCAGAGTTTGCGCACGTAGAGCAGCGCGCGGTTGGCGCCGCACTCCACCTCGATGCACGGCTCGCCGTTGTCCAGCAGCGGCTGGAAATCTGGCGCCGCAGCGGCAGCGGCCGAAAAGCGCTCAAGGGTCAGCGGGTCCCGGGGCAAGTGAAGGTGCGCGGCAGCCTCGTGTAGGCTCAGGTAGGCGCGCGAGGCACGGAGCGGGGGCGCCAGCAGCGCCTCGTAGCCGGCGGCGGCGGCGGGCAGCGAGGCAGCCGGGGGTAGGGCGGCGGCGGCGGGCAGAGGCGCCAGGTAGCCGGGCAGCGGCGGCAGCGGCAGTGCGGCCAGGGGCGGGTGGAAGGTGGCCAGGGCCAGGGCTAGGTCCTCGCGGCCCGGGAGCTCCTTCTTGACAGCCGGCATGGCGCGCCGGCAGCCACTCAGCCCGGCTCTCTGCCGCCAGCGCAACTTGTTCCGGCCGGGACTGGAGTTGGGCCGCGGAGGTGGGAGGGGGCCCGGGAGGTGCCTGGCCTCGCGCCCGCCCTGCCCGCTACTGCGCCTGGCAGCCCAGAGCCACCGCCGCCGCGCCGCCCGCCGGGCCGCTCCGGACCGCTGGCCGATCGCCTGGCGGGGGCTCCGCGGCCCGAGACATGGTGCTGCCTAGAGCTGCTATCGATCCCCAATCGAGCCGCCGAGCGTCGCAGCTACAGGGCTCTGGGGGTCCGCGGGTCGCCAAGAGTCCCGCTCCCCGGCCACCTGCGCAGCGCCCCCGGGGGCCACCCCACGCCCCGTTTGCTGGTCCGCCGCCCGGCC